CCCGGGCCGCCGGCCCGACAGGCCCGAAAAACCCTTTTGGGCCCCCAGTAGCCCCCTTTTTTTGGGACCAAAAAAACCCCGAAGCGGGGCTGGCCGCATCGAAAACTCTACCTTGGAACCCAACCCCCCTTTCGCCCCCTGGCCCCCTGGGAGGGGAAAGGAAAAAGGCCCCCCCCAGTCCCCCCCGGGAGCGGGGAACCCACCGCCGGGGGCCCCCCGGGGGGGCCCCTCTGGGGGCCTGGGCCGGGGGCGGGGCGGGCTGCGGGCGCCCGGGCCCTTTGGACCCCCCGCCTTTTGGCGGGATCGGGGGGGGCGAAAGGCACACGCCCCCCCCGGGGCCGCAGGGAGGGGGGGCCCCCCGGCAAAAAACGGGCCCCCCGACGCCCCCCCGGGGAACCTCCCCCCAACCTTTTTTTTTTTTTTTTTTAGGGGGCCCCCCGGCCGGGCACCCCCCGGGTTTTCCGTTGGCGGGGCTGGCGGTGCCCTCCCCCGGGGGCCTTTTTTTTTTTTTTTTGGGGGATTCCCTACCTCCCCCCCCCCCTCCCGCGCCGGGGGGTTTTGAGGGGGGTACCCCGGTGGCCCTCTCTTTGGGGGGCCCCGGCACCCCCCCCCCCGCGCGGCCCTCGGGGGGGGCCCCCCCGCCCCCCCCTGGGGGGCGGCCATGAGCCGCCCCCCCCCGGGCCCGGCCCGGTCGGTGAGGGAATCGTCCCCCGGGCCCCCCGGCCCCCTTTTTGGGGATACCCCCGCGGGTTGCGCCGGGGAAAAACAATGGCTCCGGGCCGGGGTTCCCCCCCGGGGGAGATCCTCCAGAGGGGGGGCCCCCGTCCCCCAGCGGGGAAAACCCCCGCGGTTGGGGGAATCCCCCCCGAGCGCAGTGGGGGGCGGGACTCGTCCCCCAGGCGGGGAACGGATTTCCGGAAACCCCTCCCCGGGAAAGGCGTAGCCGGAAAAACCCTGCTCCGCCCTGTTTTCCGAGACCGGCGGAACCCCCTCCAGGGGGGAAGAGGCGGGGCCCCCCCACCCAAAAGGGCCCCACCCCGGCCACCGGAGTCCCCGGGCGGAGGGAAAATCCCTTCCCCCCGGGGAGCCCCCTCCCCGAAATTTGGCGACCCTTGGGGCCCCAAACCCCGGGGGCCGGAAGGGCGCAACCCCCCGGTAAACCTCGGACCCTTGCCTCCCCAATTTCCCCCGGGGGGCCAGGCGCGCCCCGGGGGGGTCAACCGCCACCCCAAACCGGGCCCAAAAACGCCATGGCCCGGCCCCCCGCCACCCCCGGGGGGGAAACACGGCCCCCCCCAAAGGGGAAAAAGCCCCCTGGGGGGGAAATGCCCCGTTTCCAATGCAAGTGGCAAAGAGCCACCACGGCAGCCGCCCGGTCCTCTCGGCCCACCGTTAGGGGCCGACCGCCCTCATTGGGCCCCGGGGGGGCCCAGGGGGGGCCCCAAAAATAATGGGCCCCGGGGGGGGCCCCCCCGCAAAAAAACCCTCTCCCCCGCCCCCCGGGAAACCCCCAGCCCCCCGCCCCGGAATTCCCCCGGGCCGGGCGGGCTCCGGGGGTTACCCCCCCGGGGGGGGAAGGCCCCTGGGGCCCATTCACCCAGCCCGGGGGCCCCCTGGGCCCCAAACCCCGGGGAAGCCGACGGGCCCCGCCAAACGCCACCCTGGCCCAAATTTCGGCCCCTCCTAAATGTTCCCCCCCTCGGGTCCCCCGGCCCCGTATCGGACCTTCCTGTGAGTTGGAGCTTTGAAGGGCTTTTTGCCCAGCCCCCCCCATCCGCCGCGCTCACGGCCTCCTCGGCCCGGGCCCCCCAACCCAATTCGTCGAAGCCCCTTCCCCAAAAGGGTGGATGGGGGGAAAAAAGGGGAGGGGGGGCGGGGGCCCCCCCAAAAAAAATTTTGGGTTCCCGAAACCAAAGGGGGGCCCCCGCCGATTCGGCAGGCCGTCCCGGCTTTGAGCAGGACCACTTCCCCATTTCCACGCTCGGAAACGTCCGGACGCCAGGTGCGTCCAACCCCCCCGGGGGCCAATTTGGGGTGGGCCCCTCCCGGGGGCCCCCCGCCGGCCCCGGGTTTTTTTTAAACCCAAAACCCCCCCCCAACCCTTTTTCCGCGGGCAACTCGCCTCGCTCCCCGCGTTCCCCCCGGTGTGCCCCGGGGGGGTTTTGGGCCCCCCCCTTTTTGGGAAGGCCCGAATTCCCCGGAAGGGGGGGGCCCGTAAAGGGGGGGGGCCCACCGATTTTGCGCCCCAGTGGGGACCCCAGGGTCCTTCCAACCTCCCCCCCCTTTCCCCGCTCCGGGCCGGAGTTTGGCCCCCCAGAGGGTTTTTTTTTTACTTCTCACCCCCGAAACCGGTCCACCCCCAACCCCCCGGGGGGGTCGCCGCACGGGTGGGGCCCCCGGGCACGTCCCCGCCGGGGGCCCCAACCCGGGGCCACGAACCCCTTTTCCCTTGGGGGCCCACAACCCCAAGCGGGGGGGTCCCTCGCCCGCGAACGCATTAAAGGCCGCCCCTTGATCCTGCGGGGCCCCGGGGAAGAAAAAACAAGGCCCCCCCTCCCTAAGGGCCCCGGGGGAAGCCCACCCCGGAAAAAGGGGGCCCCCCGGGGGTCCCCCCCCGGGGGGCCCCCCCTTTCCCTCGGATCAAAGATCGAGAAAGGGCCACCCCTTTTGGGGCCCCCCCTTCTGTGCGCGACTGGGGGGGTCGAAAAAAAGGCCACACCCCCCCCCCGCTTTAAACCCTTTTTTTTTTTTTACAAAAAAAACCCCCCGGGGCCCCCCCCCCCCCTTCCCCCGGGCCCCGGGGGGGAAACCCCGAAACCCCGTTTTCCCCCGGGGAGGGGCCCAACCCCTTTGCCCCCGGGGCCCCCCGTTTTAAGGGAAACCTGAATCTTAACCCCCTTGGGGGGGAAAACCCCCCGGGTTCCCCCCCCTCGGGGGAAAACCATCCCTTTCCGCACAAGGGCGGGGGAAACGCCGTAGCCCCCGCCCGGGGCCCCCCGGGGCCCCCCGTTTGGGGGGAGGGCTGGGGTCCCGGCCGGAAACCTTCCCCGGAGGTTTTCGGGAAAACCCGCGGCAGCCATGGCGATTCGCGGGGGGGCCGGAGGTTTGGGCCCCGCCCCCTGCGTCCCAACCCCCAGGGGTCGGGCGACCAAAGCGTCGGGGGGGGCCGGGCCCCCTAGCCCCGGGGTTTTCCGAAACCGGGGGGGGAGCCCCCCGCCCCCAAGGAAAGGCGGGTTTTTGCCCGCCCCCACCGGGCGTGGGGGGGGGCCCCGCGCGGGCCCGGGGACCCCGGGCCCCCCCATTCAAAAAGTTGCTTGGGGGGTTGGGCCCGCGGCTGGGTTTTGGGGAAACCCCCCCCCCGGGGGCCAAACCGTATTCGGGGATTTCCCACGGTGTTCCGGCCGGCCCCGGCTTTGGGGGACCCCGGGCGTCCCCCCCCCGACCGATCCCGGAGGCGGCGGGGGCCCCCTCGGGGTCCCGGGGCCCCCACCTGAACTACGCGGACCCCCCGGGGGCGTCCCGCCCCCCTTTGGATTTTTGGGGGGCCATTTCCCCCCGTCCCCTGGCGAAAAACCCCCCAGCTTTCGGCAATTTTTGGGTGCCGCGAGCCCCAGGGCTGAAACAGCCCCCCCGGGCCCCGGGCCCCCCGCCGCCCAAATGGGCGGCCCGGGGGGCCCCCCCTTTAAAGGGCCCCATCGGGCCCCCACCCCGCCTCCGGCCCGCCACCCAAAACCCCGGGTTTTTGGGGGGGCGCCCGCCCCCTTTATAGGCCCCCCCCGGGGGAAATGGGCGGGGTTTTCACCCGCCCCCCTTTGGGCCTTTTACCCTTCCCAAAACCCGTTGGGGGGGGGGCGGGGGCCCCCGGGAAAATTTGGGGGGGAAGGGGCCCCTCCCTCCTCTTCGCCCCTTTAAAAAACCCCCCCCCCCCCCCCGGGGCCCCGGGGGCCGACCCCCGGGCCGGCCTGGCCCCTTTTTCCGGGGGGGAGCCCGGGGGGAGGGGGGGGAGCCGGGGGGGGTTACACCCGGCCCCCAGGAGCGCTCGGGGGCGCCCAGGCCCCTGGGGCGGGCGGGGGGGACACCCCCAAGGGAAACCCGCCTCCGCCGGCCAAGGCTCCCCATACGGCCCCAACCCGTTTGAAGCCCTTGGGGAACCCCTGGGCGCGGAGAAGGCGGGGGGGGGAGGGGGCCCCCCGGGGAGGGCCCCCAACCAAAGGGGCCCCCGGGGCACCCCCGTAGCCTGGGGGCCCCCTTGAAACGGTTCGTCGCCACTGGTCCACGCTCCACAAGGGAGGGGACCTTAAGGCCCCAAAAAACCCCCCAAGGGGGAATTTATTGGGGCCCCGGGGGGGAAACCCCGCCCCGCCCTTTCCCCAAAAGACCCCGGGGGCCCCCCACCGGCCCCAATCGGCAAGCCGCGCCCCTCCTCCGCGCGGGCCCCGCCCCCGGTCTCCCTCTGGGGAATGCCTGGGAACCCTCGGGGGGGCGGGGAGGCCCCTAAGGGGGCCCGGGGGGCCCCGCTCCCGAGGGGGGGGCCCCCATCCCCGAGATTCCTCTTCCTCTCGCTCTCCCGTTCCCCCCGGCCCCCAGTTCCGTCTCTTGGGGCCCCCCGGGGCCCTTCAATTTTACGCGCGCTCCGCCGGCTCCCGAGGATCCCGGGGCCCGCCACCGGGGCCCCACCGGAACGTAGACCTCCTCTGGAGCCGAACCCCCCCCCTCGCAAAATTTCGCCCACGCCTTTTTCCCCCGTGGCCTTTTTGGGTACATCCTTTTTTTTTAATTTCGTCATTTTCCAAAAAAACCCACGGGGGGGAACAAAAGGCCCCCGGCGGGCCCCAATTGGGGGGGGAATTTTTTTGGGCCCAACCCGGGGGGGCCCCCAAGGGCCGGCTGGGGGCCCCCCCAAAGGAACACCCTCCCTCTCCCCCGCCCCCAAAAAGGGGGGATTTTTTTTGGACCCCGCGGGCGGGGGGTTTAGCCGACCCGCCCCACAAGCCGCAGATTCCACGCGCCTTTTCCCCGGGGAACCACGGTGAAGGGGTTTTCCCCCGCCGGGGATGAAAAAGCCCCCCTCCCCCTCCAGTGTAGGGGGAAAAATGGGCCCTCAGGGCCCCCCCCTGGTTTTTCCAGGTTTCCCCCCATGCCCGAAACAAAACCGCAGGCAAAGGCGGAAGGCCCCACCCGCTGGCCAGGCCTTCCCGGAAAACCCATCGGTGCCCCGAAAAATTGGGGGCCGGGGATAACCCCCCCAAAGGGCCCGGGGCAAATTGCCCGGTTTTCCGGGGCCCACGGGGGTTTTCGCCCCCACCCCCCCTTTTTTTTTTTTTTTTTTTTTTCGTTAAACCCCTCACCCTCCCCGCCCGGGGGCCCTTTGGGGGGGGTGTGTCGGACTGCCGCTAAAAAAAAAGGTGGCCCCCCCCATTTTTGGGGGGGCGGGCTTTTTTGGCCCCCCCCCACGCCGGCCCCCCTTTGGCGGGCCCTTTTGGGCCCCTTTGGCCGGGGGCAACCCCCCCCCCCCCGGGGGCCCCCTTGGTGGGGGGGGGAAACCCACCCCCCCCGCGGAAAAAAGGGGGATAGGCGGGAAAGCCCCCCCCCCGGTTGCCGCGGCCCCGGGGGGCTCCCCCCCCCCCCGCCTTTTCGGGTTCCCCCTTTCCGAAGGTTTACCCGGGGGGGAAAAAATTCCCCGGATGGAGGTTCGGCCGGCGAGATCCCTTTGGCTGGGGGGCCCCCCTCCGCCCTGCGGGAACCCCAGCTTCTGGGCGGTTCCGCGCGCTTGGGGGCGGGGACTCATTCCCCCTCGCCGGGGGCTACTTTTCCCCAACCTGCCCGGGCCCCCTAGCGGGAAGAAAGGGGCCCGGGCCCCCCGGCCCGCCACCTCGGCGTTTGGGGTGGGACCTCCCGGCCAAACGGTGGGAGCTCCCCCGGGGAGCCTGGGCCCGGGGGGCCTTTTTCGCCCTCCGGGCCCCTCGGCCAAACCCCTCCCCCCGGGCCCCCTTGGGGGGCATTCCCCCCCCAGGGGGGTTGGCCCAAAGGGAAGCCCTCGGGGCCCTCGGGTTTCCCTTGGCCGGGCCGCCCCTTGGGGGCGCCGGGCGGCCCCTTTGGGGGGGGGGGCCCCCCCCCCCAAACCGGGGAAAAAAGGGGGCCCGGACCCGGAAAACCCCCCTAAACCGCCTCAAACTGGCCCCGCCCCTTGGGCAAAAACCCCAGGGGGGGGCGCCCCCGGGGGCCAAACTGCCGAAAGGGGGGTAAAACCCCCCGCTAGAAACCCAGTTCCCCCGGGCCCACCGGGGCCGAGGGCCCGTTTGGGGGGGCGGGGGCCCCCCCGGGGGGCCCATGAAATAATTGGGGCCTCCGTCTTTCCGGGCCCCCCCAAAACCCAAGGGCCTCAATGCGCCCGACCCCCAGGGAAACTCCCGGGGGGGCCAGGGGGCCCCCCCTCCTGGAAGTTAGCCCCCCGGGCCGTGAGAAAGGTGTCATCCGCGTAGCAGTTTAACCCCCAGCCCGGGGGGGAGACGGGCCCCCGTAGGGGGCCCCGTCGTACCCGATGTTTTCCCCAGGGGAGGTCCTGGCCCGACCCCTGCGGAAAACCGCACGAAAATGGCCCCGCGTTTTCAAGACGCCATCTCGGTCCTCGTAATGACGGGGTTTGTCCCCCAAAAATAAATCCCCCGGGCCCCCACCGCCCCCAGGTACTCCCGGGACTCCGTTGGGGAGGGGGAGCGCTTCCCCGTGCAGCTGAATGGCAGACTATTGAAGGGGTTGGGGATGTTTCCCAAAGGGCCCCCGCCAAAAAACCATCCGCCCCAGCTCACGGCCCTCCCCCGGTTTACGGGCCCCAAGGCCATCACGGCAAACCCTCGTCGAAAGCCCCACTCGGAAACCCAATTGGGGTCCGACGATCGGGGCCAAACCCCGCTAAGGTTCCGGGCGATGCGGACCCAGCACCCCAACCCCAAAACCTTTTTTTTTTTTTTTTTAAAGGGGGGAATCCCCCGGACCGTCACCCCTCCCGGGGTTTGGGGGGCGGGGGGGTTTGTCCTGACTCGGACCGCCCAAAACCACAAAGGTGGGGCCACCCCTGCGCCTGTAACAGGGGGGGAAACCGGGAACACTGTTTTTTAAGACATCCGTCCCCCCCCTGCGCCAGCCCCCCTCCTTTGGTTTCGGGGTCCGTCCAATGTGGATGTTCCTCTCTTTAGGCGACGTCCGGCACACGCGGACGCCCCCCCCTCGGGGTTTGGCCAACAAATGCGGGTGGGGGGAAAACCCCCACCCCGTCCACCCCGGCCACACTCAGGGGGCATGAGGCTGTGGTAGGCGGGCCTCCGCCCCCCGGTTTTGGGCCGGCGGCGGATCGGGCCCCGAGTGGGGGTCGTCCCCCCCGGGCCCTTTTTTCCGCCGCCCCCTTTTCCCGGGGATTACTACCTGGGCAGAATTTGGGGCCCCGCGGAAAAAACACTGTCGCAAACCGGCCAGGAAAGCGAAATTTAGGCCGGTAGCGAGAGTCCACTCCGAGGACTGCAGTGAGGGCCCGGGGCCGGGCGCCGCCCTGGGGGGCAGACCGCCAGCGTGTCGGGGGGCCCAGTCCCCCACTGCAGTCGCAGGGGGGTTGGCAGGCGGGACTCGGGGTTTTCCCTCCTACGACCGTGTGCATTTATTTTCCGAACAACCGTGCCCGGAAAGCACCTGCTTCAGTGGGAAAGGGAAAGGGTCCCGTGCTGCCCCCGGGCCCACTGGGCCCATTAAACCGGCGGGAAGGGGCCTCCACGGCGGGAACCAGCGCGGGGAGTCTCCAGGGGAAAAACGACCAACGGCCATCGGGGCTCGGCGAGGGGCTTCGGGGCCCACTCCCGCAAAACCTGGGGCCCCGGGGGCAAAAACCCCGTCTCCCCCCGGAAAGTCGCCCACTGGGCCGAAAAAATTTCCCGGCGAGCACTTCCGCCCCCAAATCCCACGGGGGAGTTTTCCCGGGCCCAAAGCGCACGCCACATCCGTTTGAAACGGTGCGGTAACCGCGTATGGGGTCTGGAAAAGCCCCTTACCCCCCTGAGGGGGCCCCGGGGGGGCGTACCCCTTTTTGGGCGGTCAGAAACCCCCCGCCCCACAAACCGGGGAACCCTACGTGCCATTGACCCGGGCAAACCCCCGTGTAAAAGCCGTCTTGGGCGCGACGCTGGGGGCCACCCCTAAAAATTTGGGGGAAAAATCGCCCCAAGGGGAGACGCCAAACGCCGACCCCCTTTTGGGGCAAGCTGTTGGGGGAAATTTCTCGTCGAAAAGCCCCCCCCCGTCAGGATCAGGCCCCGGGTTTTTTCATCTGGGGCCCCAACCCCGGGACAGGACCGAGGTTTTACCACATTTGGGGGCCCCGGGGGTGGACCACGGGGGGGCCCATGGAATAACAGGGCCCCTCCGTCTTATCTGGGCCACCCGTTTAAACCCAGCGCCTCAATCGGG